AGAGGGCGCCGGCGGTTTGGGATGAGCATCGGAGGCATCCAGCGCCGGGCGCGAAGTGCACGCAGTGCGTGATTACGCTGGCGTTGGCAGTGACAGCGCACGCCGCGCAAGGACGGACAACGGGCGCAGTCATAGCGGATTTTGAGGGAGGGCGCTGCATAAGTTGGACGTCCAGTTACGTGGCCATTGCGCGGGTGCGACGGCGGGAAGACTCATTGAATTCTCGGCCCTCTGACAGGAAACCGCACAACGAAGGCGAGATGGCCGGGGCGCAGAAGTTGCTGCGAGTGCTCTGCGGGTAGAGCGTGGATTGGGGGATGCTGATGCCTCCAGAGCAGCGCGAGCGGTGCCGGCGCAGGCTGTTGTTAGAAGAGCTTGCGACTTGCAAATTGCAGAGAGAGTGGCAACCCGCGTTTTGCAGCGAAGGTACGGCGCAGATGGGAAGCGCGGATGACAAGTGGTGAGCGACATGCAACGGGCGGGCAAGCGAAGGCGAGGAGGAGGGGCGAAAGCAGCCAGTCGGCCTGCAGGGCGGAGACGCAGCGGGCGACGAGGAGGAAAGGAAACAGACTCGAACCAGGCACTGCGCGAGTTGCGCGCATGTGAAGGATGGGAAGAACTCGCGCAGTGACGATGCAGTGTGGAACGAGAGCGTCGGCGCAGTGCGACGTTCGGACGAAACGTGCTTGCCGCTTTTCGACGAGCTGGCGGCGATGTCGGAAGCGCAGGAAAGCACACGCAGCCAGAGCAAGGCTTGTCGAAAATGCGCGGAGGAACGGGATGAGGCCACGCGCGAATCCAACAACCGCCAGCGAAGGGTAGAGGAAGAAGCGGAGCCGTTGACGTGCTGCGCACCAGGATGCGGGGTGACTTTTTGGGACACAGGCCATTTGCGTCGCTGCCAGGCGGAGGGCCGCCGGAAGAAGAAAGGAACCAGAGTGGCGCGCGGGGACTGTAGCAAACGCGGCGGGCTGAAGAGCGCAGCGCGCGGGAAGGAGTTCGCTCGGCAGCTGCGCATCAGCGATGAACAAGAGAGCAAGCACTTCACGAGGAGTAAAATTGCATGCGCGGGTTGCATTGCCGATGGGTTCGCGGCGCTCAGTTGGCAAGGATTTTAGCGCAGTGGCAAGTGCCGGAAGAAATTGCCGAAGTCGGCCTTCGCCGCGGACAGTTGCAATGTCGCGCGCGACGAGAAGAATGGCATCCTGAAGTGCATATCATGCAAGTGATGCCCACGCGGGGGCCTGCGCCATGGCCCCTCGCTGCAGGGCCGGCGGGGGCGAGATCGAGAGGGAGGGCGAAACGGATGAAAAGGGGAACCAAAGAAGGCGAAAGCGGAGGGGGGAGGACGGGGAGGATGAGGAGAGGCAGAGGGGAGATAACGGAGGAGGAGGATGAGTGACGACTTGGTCTTGGGATTCTGCATCCCAGCCTCTGGTGGCCTTTTTGAAACGACTCCGGCACGTCGAAAAACGTTTTTTTTTCAGTCTGGATTTAGTAGCCTTGTGCCGGTTTCTGAAACGCGCAGTTTGTCATGGCCGTCGGTCGATGCAGTCGTGGCCGCGGGTCAAAATCACAGGCGCGCAAATTATGCGCGCGCGGCCGTAGTCTCACCGTGCGCGAACGCATGGCGCATGGCGCCGCCGCGCCACACTGCCCCGCGGCGCGGGCTACATGAAGTCAGGGCCACGCCCTACGCTACGCGCAGCTACAAGGGTTGGGCGGTTCGCCCAGCAATGTTCCACGCGCCGTGCCATGCAACATTCGGTTTTACAGCGTTGGCGCGGTGATGCGAAATGGTGTGTTGTGCTATGCAGCGCTGTGGCATGCCGCCGTGTGTTATCTTGCGCCGTGCCATTGCGTACTACGACTTTTCGTTGTATGCCACGCAATTTCGCGATGCCATAGCAGAGTGCGCAATGCCATGCTTGGGCCTGTTATGCCAGGCTTTGCATTACTGTGCGGTGCGCTGTTTTAGCGGCCTCCAAACGCCGACCATTTCGAAACACTTCTGGCCCTCTGGCGCGATTTGTGCCGTGTCGGCAAAGTCCTGCCTCCGAGAAAAAGCGCCCGGATCCGACCGAGTAGATCGCCACGAACTGCCGTCGACCATTATCTCGCGCCTCCGCGAAGTTTTGCACCGAGGCAGATGCAGATCTCAACCATTCTGGCTTCGGTCTGCCATCATGCAGCGAGACGGTGTTGGGTTAGTGGTCGATGGAACGCTTCACGGGAGAAAGAATTAGCTGGAGATGGACCCGACCTTATTCAGATGCGCGTGCGTGGCGCAGGGCGTGGCCCTCTGTTCATATGCGCGCCACAGGACTGTACGGATACGGAGCTGTGGGGCAAGCGCGCAGAGGCATGCCATACTCCATGTGGGGCGCGAAACGTGTGAGGGGTGTGCCACACTGGGGCGGGGGATGCTACGTGGGCGCACTCGGTCTCATAGGTGTTGTGCAGATATGAGCGGGGCAACGATATAAAAGGCGCCCTCACTGGTGTTCCTTGTGGAGCGCGAGACGTGCGAGGGGTGTGTCGCCATGCGCGGAGGTTGTCATGCGAACGCACCCGCGCGGGCCGTAGGTGGACACCTCGGCGGGTTCAAAACGAGGGCCCAACTCCACACAGGAGGGTTGGGAATGAAACAGCCCCCCCCCTCAGCAGGGTCAATTTCGGTCCGTTCGATCTGAGTCGATAGCGGTTCCAGCTGGTTTGGTCCCGTTCAATTCCGATGTTCCGACGATCCGATACGGCCCGATGTTTGCATAGCGTTGATGCGCACGTACCTTGATGCGGCCGACTTGCCCCGACCTCGATTCTTGGCCGTTTCAATTCGATCCGACGCACATTCCTATTCGATCATCGGTTCAAGCACGTCTGTCTTAGTCGACAAAAAACGAGTCCAATAGATTGTATGTTTGTTGAGTCTCGGCATTCACGCCAGCAACAAAGCGTGCCTCAATTCCACTGCCCTGTGCTTCGACTTGTAAGCTCGGATGCTTGTTTGCGGCAGCCAGGAATGACGGCTTACCGCCGGCACCAAGTCCCGATTGGACGTTGACAGTTCTTGCCAGTGGCCAGCCGTGGGCCATGGCCATATCCACGGCCTCGCGGGCCGGGCCCCTGGGCTGCGGCCCCGTGGATACGGGGCGTGTCTTCGCGGATGCCCTTGCGAGGCACGCATCCATGCGAACGCGTATGCACGAGAGCGTGCCCTTGAGGGTAGACCGCGAGGGCGTGGAGATGGGTACGTTCGCCGCTCATGATCCCCGACGATCTGATGTTTCAGTGCGCGGCCCCGGAAGCCTAGACGTTCGCCCGCATCCGTTTCAGATGGCCCCAGTGCACGCTGCCACCACCTCCCTCCTCCTCCTCCTCCTCCTCCTCCTCCTCCTCCTCCTCCTCCTCCTCCTCCTCCTCCTCCTCCTCCTCCTCCTCCTCCTCCTGGACCGGAGGCGGCTGAAGCGCTCCGCAGACGGGTGCCTGCGCGTTCCTCCAACACTCTGCGTCGGATGCCCCATGCACGGCCTGGTCTCCTCCTCCTCCTCCTCCTCCTCCTCCTCCTCCTCCTCCTCTCCTCTCCTCTCCTCTCCTCTCCTCTCCTCTCTCTCTCTCCTCTCCTCTCCTCTCCTCTCCTCTCCTCTCCTCCTCCTCCTCCTCCTCCTCCTCCTCCTCCTCCTCCTCCTCCTCCTCCTCCTCCTCGTCATCATCATCATCATCATCATCATCATCATCCTCCTCCTCCTCCTCCTCCTCCTCCTCCTCCTCCTCCTTCTCCTCCCTCATCCTTTTTCAACGAACCCTGGATGCCGAAATCGAGCCAAGCCGCGGGACTGGAACGATCGCATCGTCGGAGATCGGGGACCGCTTTCGCCTGCGGCCAGGTGGGTGCCACCCAGACGGGCACGAAGCGTGCGAGGGGTACTCCGCAAAGAAGCGCGCGAGGTGTGCGCCCAAATTGGCCTGGGCCGGAAGAGGAGGAGAAGTAGGAGGAGAAGCAGGAGGAGGAGGAAGAGGAGGAGGGGGGGAAGGAGGGAGAGAAGGAGGTGGAGGAGGAGGAGGAAGAGGTGGGTGGACGGGCACGAAGCGTGCGAGGGGTACTCCGCAAAGAAGCGCGCGAGGTGTGCGCCCAAATTGGCCTGGGCCGGAAGAGGAGGAGAAGTAGGAGGAGAAGCAGGAGGAGGAGGAAGAGGAGGAGGGGGGGAAGGAGGGAGAGAAGGAGGTGGAGGGGGAGGAGGAGGAAGAGGAGGAGGAGAAGGTGAGGGAGGAGAGGAGAAGGAGGAGGAGGAGGAGGAGGAGGAGGAGGAGGAGGAGGAGAGGAGGGAGGAGGAGGAGGAGGAGGAGGAGGAGGAGGAGGAGAGGAGGGGGGGGAGGGGAGAGGGGGAAGGGGGAGGAGGATGAGGAAGAGGAGGAGGAGGAGGAGGAGGAGGAGGAGGAGGAGGAGGAGGAGGAGGAGGTGGAGAGGAGGAGGAGGAGGAGGAGGAAGAAGAGGAGAGGAGAGGAGGAGGAGGAGGAGAGGAGGAGGAGGAGGAGGAGGAGGAGGAGGAGAGGAGGAGGAGGAGGAGGGGGAGGAAGAGGGGGAGGAGGAGGAGGAAGAGGAGGAGGAGGAGGAGGAGGAGGAGGAGGAGGAGGAGGAGGAGAGGAGGAGTTCGAGGAGGAGGAGGAGGAGGAGGAGGCGGAGGAGGAGGAGAGGAGGAGAGGAGGAGAGGAGGAGGAGGAGGGAGGAGGAGGAGCAGGAGGAGGATGAGGAGGGAGTAGGAGGAGGAGGAGGAGGAGGAGGAGGAGGAGGAGGAGGAGGAGGAGGAGGAGGAGGAGAAGGAGGCCGCGTCCCAAGCGACGGGACATTGGGCCGCCTCGAAACAGGCTAAACAGGAGGAGGAGGGGGAGGACGAGACGCGTGGCGCTGCGGATCCAAATCGAAGAGCCAACACACGGGAGGGCTGGGCTCAAAAGACACGTCGCCGGAGACCTGGAGCCGGCCTTGCCCGCATAGCCAGGTGGGGGCCGCCTTGACGGGCGGGTTCGAGCAGGCCCCGCCAGAGGAGCTGCTGGTCTCGACGCGCGAGGAGCCGCCGCCGCCGCCGCCCGCGCCACCCGCGGCGCCTGGAGAGGAGGCGCGCCACGGGCGTCGCGGGGAACGCCAGGCAGTGCCAGAAAAGTCTGGGGCAATGCTACGGGGGGTCAGAGAGTCTCAGGGGTGGGCGAGGGACAACGCTGGACGGGGATGTGGGGCTCGAGGTTTGAGGTGTTTCGAAGTTTCCCTCGGTTCCCAGCGGTGATCCAGCCTGGGGATGCTCTCCGGCAGCTGCGCTTCGCCGAGAGCCTTCTGGGGGTCCAGATCGTCCCAAGTGGCCGCAGGAGAGCCGAGTTATGGCCCGAAGACGCGGAGCACCGTGAGGAGGGGATGGGTTCAGGGAGGGACGCATCGACCCCCGATCTCCCACTCATCGCCGAGAGGGGCCCAATATCCCGCGTCGCCCAAGAACGCACGGATTCTCCATTGGTCGCTTATCGCCGATCTCTCGGCGATGCATCGCTGATTCCAGCTCGATGTTTCCTCCCTGAGCCAGTGCCCCGAGATCGTTCCCCTTCACATGTGGGGTATAGGGGTCACGAGCTCCTCCTGCAAATCGAAGTCCAAGGATTTGTCTCCAAACAATATCTGTCAGCCCTGGTTTAACGAAAGGCTTCCCACAAGGACGTCACCAGCTCCTCCTGGAGATCGAGGATTGAGAGTCCGCCCAGGCGGGCGGGGATCGATGATAAGGATGCTTTAATACCCTTGATCCTAAAAGGGCGCCCTGTGTACGCGTGCGCTGCTGTAGAAATCAAGATAAGAACAGATACTACACACACACGCCTGCTAAATCCCCGTATCTCTGACACCCCTCCGTGACCATCGAGGCCTGTCCTCGTCGGGCACAATCCTGGGAAGACGGGGGGATCGGAGACAAAAAGTGGCGGACCTTTGTCCTGGGGCTAAGCTTCATTAGACAGATAAGAAAGCAAATGATATAATGAAATCCACTGCCCTTCAAGAGGAAAAATCTCCAAAAATCGGCAGAGCGGTGCCTAGACAGGCGTGCAAATATGGAACTGTAAAACACACAGGGCATAAACGATATGGATGCAAGACTAAACGGTACGAGGGAGAGGAGACAGAGGAGGAGAAGGAGGGAAACGAAAATCGGAGGACTACCCCTCCGCATCGCCAGGCCGGGCCTTGCGGGCTCGGCGCGCCTCGCCTGCCGCTGCCTTAGCAGCGAGCATCTCCTTCGTCTGCGCTAAACACCAGCGGCCCTCAGACAGCCGCTCTAGCAAGAAACTCCTCTCAGCCTCGGCCTTTGTCAGAGCGTCCGCGATCATCAACTTCGTGTCGATCCATCTAACTCGTATCCTCCAGTCGTCACTCTCACGCTCTTGCTTCAGCACGTCGTGGCCGAGTAGCTGTCGGATCTGGGCCATCAAAATCCGTACCCTCTTGTCAGCTGGCTGACCACCATCCTTCTCCAGGGAGGTGACAAGGCCATTCGCGTCTGTCAGCAGTAGCAGATGCTTACCATCGAAAAACGGGTCGAACTGGTAGGAAGAGTAGCCTGGGTCGGAGATCTCAGCGATCACGTGCTTGAGGAACTCCGCACTCGGCCGTCGTCAAGAAACCGTTGCATTCAGCTGCTAGCGATCCACGAACCACTCGCTTGATCGTCGCGCTAGCCCATTCCAGTGGGTGTATGATCGCGGTGGCGTCCGTCTCGAGGTCTTGCGACGCCATGCCGATGATATAGCCGCACTGCGACTTGACCTTCTCTCCTAGCGTCAGGTCGTCGATGTTGCCGTGGCTGCTGTCCCCGCAGCCGAACACGATGGCACTGTCCCAGTCAAGGCGGGATGAAAACACCAGCTTGAAGTCGACGTCGTCCTTGGCCATCTTGATGGCACGATTCACTGCAACAATGTCACGGATCTTGGGGCCACTCATGGCCTGAGCCCCAAGTGAAGCGTGGACGGCCAGGTCGGGGCGCGTCTGCCGTGCTACCCAGCCAAGCGACCCAACACCGCTACGGAGGGCAGAGATCTCCTCCGGGGTGAGTGGCGCATTGGGCTTGCGCCGGCGGTGTGGCTCGAGGGTGGTGTACTCCAGCGCCTCGACCGTGGCGGCCTGTCCGATCTTGATGTCGGAAGTCTTGTTGTCCTGCTCCACAACCTTGCCGCAGTTCCTGAACGTGTCGGACTGGAAGGAAAGGTGAATCTTGTCCTTGATGATCTCCATCACGCGCTCGAACTGCTCGCCCGCGCCCGTGACGAAGAGGTCGTCGACGTGCGCGCACAGCAAGCCATTGAGCTTGCCCTTGCTGTCCCTGAGCATGAACAGACAGGGCTCGTAGATGGACTCGCGCCAATCCTGCTCCACGAGGATGGCGCGCAGATGCAGCCACCACTGCCTGCCTGCGTCCTTGGTGCCGTAGATCGCGCCGCGGGCGCGCATGTAGGACCCCTCCGGAACTCCAGGTGGTGGAGGACGAGGGGCTCGAAGAAGCAGGATGCGCTCAATGCCCTTGGACTGCAGGTAGGCCGTCGCAGCGTCAGCTGCCCTTGCCTGCCACCGGTGGGAGGCAGCGTAGCTGGCGACCAGGTGGAAGGCCAAAAGGCTAGCAGTAGGAGCGTCGCCCCGGATATCATCCCCTCGTTCCTGGCAGCCCTGCACGACGAGCCGATTCTTGGCAGCGAGCGGGATGTCGTCGTAGGTCTGCTTGGGGTTGCGCTTCTTAGCGTTCTTGTCCGTGTGGGCCCAGCGCGTCTCAACTGGGGAGGCACCCCTGTCGAGGAGCTCCTTGGCCTGGCTAAAGCCCAGCACCTCGACGGCCTGGAACTCAGTCCAGCTGCGCCACTCCTTGGCCATAGCTTGGTCGAACTCCTTCCTCTGCTCTGGGGCGAGATCTTGAAGTCTGATCTCGGAGCGGACCGCACCCTTGGTGAGATAGGCGAACTCGACGGTGTCGTTCGTGCCCACGTCCTCGTCGGTGTGAACGAAGATGGTCTCGACCGCGGTGATGCCACCAGGCAGAGGCCGACGAAGGCGAGCATCGCGAAGAGCAAGACCTCTGACGTCGATGTCATCGATCACGATGCCTGTCTTGATGTCTCTGGTGATGCGGCGAAGCACCATGGACCAGCGAGGGCCACGCTTGTCCGCGGTGATGAACTTCTTGATGCCGCAGTCGGTGCGACGCCACTCGTAAGCGACAGCCAGGTCCGGCTTGTAGTCGCTGGTGAAGATCACTTCGTGGAGGGCATCCTCCATGACGCGGAACTCCTCCTCCACGTAGCCCTGGAAGGTACGGGGCTTCTTGATAGAACCCCGATCCAGACGCTCCGGATCGCGCATGGCTCTGTCCAGCTGGGTAAGCGACAGGCCTCTGCGCTTCTCCCCGCGCTCCAGGCCCACGCCCATCTCGTCGTCCGGCACCGGCTTGTCGACGGCCTCGTCATCCGGGGGCACCGGCTTGTCGATAGCCCCCTGGGATACTCGAGGATCGATCCGATGACCTTGAACTTCGGAATGAATGCTGGACTCGCCTGGGCCGTACGAGCGTGGCGGCCCCTCTGCCTCTGGTAGCCCCGGGCGTGGTGGCTCAGGAACCACAGGAGGAGGCTGATGCTGAGCTGGTGGTGGTAGTAGTGCGCCGTCGGTCTCCTGAATGATTGGAGATGCTTGTTGTGGTGCTTCGTGTGCCGGCGGTGGAGGATCGAGCCGCTGCTGTGGTAGATGGTCCTCGGTGTTGAACTCGTCGAAGTCGAAATTTACATCAGGTCCTGGTCCGGCAGATCCGAGCGCGCCCCCAACCACCCCTCCGTGACCAGCCGCGTGCTGTTGCGGCCTGGGCATCGGGGCGGGCGAGGCTGCTGCTGTGTCGGCTCGGATGTCGATGTAGTGTCTGGCTCCCTTCAGTGACCGAAGGGACAACAGGTCTGGGTTCACGTAGGTGTGCATGGCGAGCAGCTCGTCCTCGGAGGCGAACCTGGGCGACTCAGGAGCTGCGAGCACGGTGGTGTGCCCATAGCGCAGCCACACTGCATGGGCCAGCGTGCCGACGGGCTCGTCAGTGTCGCGAGAGAGATGACGTGGGTCGCGCACCTCATGCCCGATAACCCGGGCCGGCCCAAACCAGCGGTGCGTGACCTCGGGGCTCTCGCCGACTCGGGTTTGCGACCGGCGGAAGTACACGATGGCCCCAATGTTGAAAGGGCCTCGGCTAGGCCGCGCCTTGCGCAGGATGGCGCGCTTGACGCGGTCGTCGGAGTCGAGGCGGACGTGTGCGATGCGGGCCGCCTCGCGCAGGGCCATGGCGCGGGCCATGGCAGACTGGGGGTCGAGCGACGCCTCGATGACCTCCAGCCGCTGCGCCTCGTCGTCTTGTAGGAGGCTTCCTGGGGCGCGGGGCCCATGCGACCCCAAGACCCACTGCGAAGGGGAGAACCCCCCGCGTCGGCCCAGCTCGTTCTTGACCTGGGTCACGATGGAGGCAGTCTCCTCGACGTCGTCCAGTCCTGTGACCTGCGAGTCGGCGACAGTACGTCGCCAGATCTCCTTCCAAATGCCCCCGTGGCGCTCGCACTTGCCGATGAGGTGCGGCGTCTCCAACGGGGCCAGGTCGACCTGCACGCCGTGCGCCTTCGCGTTGGAGGCGAAATCCTTCATCCACTCCTTGCCTAGGTCCACCGTGAGCTTCTCTGGGTAGCCAGCCCACGGGGTCCAGCTGGTAGTGAACGCCTTGGTAGTGGCACGCGCTGTCGGTGATCCACGAGCCGGGCCCATGCAGTACACGACTTGAAAGTTCGTCCCCTCGCAGATACAGTTCATAAAGAAATAGGGGGTCCCGGCGGCGTCGTAGGCGTGGAAGGTGTCCAGCTGGATGGCGTAGTTGAACACGCACTGACCTGGCAACCGCGAAGGTCGTGGGGCACGCCGACGGATGGCGTCGCCACAGGCGTCGCAGGAAAAGAACTCCACGTACTTCAGCACCTCCGGCTTGACTCCTCGGCGCCTCAGCAGCCTGGTCAGCGTCACGTTCGAACAGTGGTGGAAGTTGACGTGGAGCTGGCGGATGGCCTT